CCGCCGGACGCAGCAGCATCAGCAGCGCGTGGCGGGCGGGGACGGCGTCAGGCCGCCATCGTCGGTGGCGGCGGCCGTGCTGGCCGAGGCGGCGTACTTTGCGCTGGGGCTGGCGGCGCTGTGCGTCGCCGCCTTCCTGCTCGCGCTCGGGGCGTGCTCGGGCGGCGGGTGGAGGGGCGGGGGTGGCGGGGGCGGCGGGTGGTCGTCGTCGTCGGCGTGGGATAAGCACTGCAAGGAGGTGTAGCGGGGGTTGAGTGGCGCAAGGGCTGTGACTGCCAAGGTCAAGTGTGAGATATCGCAATACGGGGATCGGGCGATTATCTAATTATGGAAATTGAGCAAAGCACTTTGTGTGTTTCATGCGCGAGTTTGTTTCGATGCAGTTGCTCGTGAACAGTACAGTGAATCACGCAATGCAGTTGTCACGGTGCATGAGATTCTTGCAGATATCAAAGTTGTACAAAATCAAATATTGACTTCCTGGACCAGCCAGTGGGCTAGATAGGGACTAATGTAGGAGCAGCTGTAGCTAGGTATTCGAAACGCCCATCGTGTCTCGGGTAGCTACTAGATTAGAAGGCTCTAATTCCCGTGGCCGGGCCCGGCGAGGTCACGACAGCCCCAGGACCAGACATCACGGTGACCCGACGCGCCTCCCGTATGACAGCGCCCCCGAGGCCGTCGCAGGTGGACAGGTCGGCGGGGGAGGCAGCACCCTCGGCCCGTCCACCTTGCTTGGCCCAGCGTCCGGCAGAACCGGGCAAGGGCAGCGGCGAGATGGGCGAGATGGACGTGCTGCCAGGAGACACGGGAGACACGGGCGTGCCAGGAGACACGGGAGACACGGGCGGCAGGGCCGGGGTCATGGGGGGCATGGCCGAGAGAATGGGCGAGGAGCTCGCAGAGCGCGCGGGGTCGAAGGAAGACCGCTGCCTGGCGCGCCGGCCGCGCTGCCCGCCGTCGTGGCCGTCGTCTTCACCGCCGTCGGAGCCGACGGTGAAGTACTCGTCGTCGTCGTCGTCGTCGTCGGTCAGGTCGGCCAGCTCGTCGGCCAGGTTCCCCAAGGGACGGCGGGGAATCGGGCTAATATTGGAGGCCGGCGAGGTGGCCGATGCGAACCCGCCCCTGGCCGTGCTGTGGGTAGGCCCGCCGCGGGTGTCGACCGGGGAGCCGACGGGCTTCTGGGACGCCACCGCAGTGTCGACCCTCAACGACGATCGCGTATCGGCGCTGCGGCCATGCCCCAGGACGCGCCTGGAGAAGGATTCGAGGTCGGGGTTGGGACTCACCTCGCTAAAGGACTGGAAGGGATGTGAGGGACTGGTGATGTCTCGAGATATCCCAAGGCCCTGGACCCCCTGGCGCTTGCTCGACTGCTGCCTGCGCGGCGACTGCACTCTGTTCAGCCTTTCGACCGCGTTTTGCAGGACGCCGATTTTGGCCTGGGCCTCGCCCAGCTCCGCGCGCAGCCAGTCGTTGGTCCTCCAGGCGGCCTCGCGCTCGGTTTTCAACAGGCCGCGCTCTTTTTTCAACATCTCCTGCTGCTTGTCGATGCGGCCCTCCAGCACCCGGCGCTCCGAGTCCCGGCTGCTCACGAAGACGGAACGGCAAATCCAGAACACCACCGCGAGGATGAAAAGCAGGATGCCTAGCGAGACGGCAACCCAGTCGCTGAGGCGCTCGCCAAAGGGCCCGCAGAGGTCCTCCTGGCTGGCGCCAGCCCGGGCGAAGAGGGCTGGTGCCATGCTTGCCGCCGGGTGCTGGGACGGTTGGCTCCGTTAGTCAATGGTATGGTCTGATCAATGCGAGGTTGCCTTTTTGGAAGCGACGGTTGGCTTCCTAGCGAATTCACTGTGTTCTTGGATCGGGCCTAGGAGGAGTTCGCTGTCCCTCGCGGACACGAGGTAAGGCTGGATGCCATGGGATTAAGTATGTAGTGGATGCGCCTGGCCTGGCCGCTGCGAGCATGTATTGCCGGGGGATAATGGATGTGGACACAAAGAACAGCAAGCACCTCCTTTGCACCAAAGGCTGTACGGAATTGTGATCGTTTGTTTGTTGTCATGGGCTTTGTCAGCTTGGCGGTGGTGCGTTACTCTCCAGCCAAACAAAGCCTTGCATTGCATCTACGTGCTGGGGGCCGTTCTGAAAGACCATCCGGGATGGGCGTAAGGATATGAACGGTAAATCAACAGGAGTGTGGGTGTGTTCAGAGTCAAGAAGGGTTGGGGGTGTGGGGGAGGGGGGCGTGCAAAAACCAGAGTTGACGGGAGTGGAGACAGCTGGCGCCCCATTTTCCAGATGCAACCTAGGCTCCGCTGCCAGCTCCAGCTGCTGCTACTGCTCCTCTTGTTCACGCTGCTGCTTTGCTACGATCCTCGCCCGCCGGGCGAGAGTGCCACGCCACGCTTGGTTCTGGCGCTAGCACCTCTGCCGAGTCATTCACAAACGAGGGGGAGCAGGCAAAGGTACGGGAGCACCAGGATGCAGAAAAAAATATTGTCGGGTCCGGGGCAGAGGTTACCGGCGGAACCGAGAAAAGAAAGAAAAAAAGGAAGGGGGGGGGGGGGAACCGGGGGAA